CATGATGGGTAAGTTTTGCGTGGCAAATACCTTGGAAATACTTTAATACGCAAACTTTTGATTAGACAGCGTTTTCTGGTTTCGCCCATTATTTTTATGAAACATTAAACTAATGCTTTTAAAAATAAGAATTATGAATATTCACGGCTTTAAGAATCTAGTTTTTATAAAATGTCCACAAAATTCAAGGGACCTTTGCTACAATATGGATAGCTTAGAGAAGTTGTAGAAATAAAAACGAAGTACTGTGGAAATGAACATGTGTTTCAATAAATTATTTTAGGAACACATTAGAGACAGATATATATTGCAGCGACAAGGCGGCGATTATTATTCTAAGGAAATCTTGTTCTATCATCGTGACTTCACAGTTAATCACAAATATAATTCTATGAGGATTTTGAGGTTATGTACAGAGTACGGTAAGATTTTTTGATTCTATTCATCAAAGCTAGCATTAATCTTTTAAAAAAATATTGTAAATATACTCTTCTAAGAGCGTCTGCTCAAAACAGATCTGAGAGAAATACACGCAAATTATTGATGGTTTTTACTACAAAAGGGTTTTGAAAATATTATATATTAAATTATATTTTATTCCAACTATGCCGAAAATGGTGATTGTGATGAAGATGATGGTATCCTAATGACCAAGCTTTGTTTATTCGTATAATAATATAGCACTAGGACAGCATAACCCTCAACTCATTATTTCCTTTTGAGTTCCTTGTTGGAGAGTCAGTAGATATAGGGCGAGTGAAAGATTCATTGAGTTGAGTTAAATTTTGGAAATTTAAAAAAGTCATATGAATCCCAGTATTGTGAATCCATTTCCATTATAGTCGGGTATTCGTAACCGGGAGCAAGAATCTAAACTCGACAGCATTACCTTAAAATTATTTGGTGAATGTTTTATGCCACTGCAACAACAACAATATGCCGAATAAGGTGATTGGGTGATGACTTTGGTAATTTTGTGACCTCTATTCCATCTTTTTCTGCAAAAACGGCGTGTCTTTTTGTATGAAAAAATAAAATATGTTGAGTCGCATTATGAGACAAAAAATGTAACACTCTCTAATATTTTCGGATAGATTTTAGATTTTCACGTCGTTAACAATAGTAAATTAGCGAAGTAGTCAAAAACTTTTAAAAATTCTGAGGCAATAACAAATTTCACTTCGATGTAAACGAGTAAAAATCGCCCGGACAACTTTTTGTTTCATAGCATATTTTGAAAGAACGCCATTAAAGATTGAGTTAGCAATGAAAACACTTTTGCCGATTCAATTCCTGTGTACTTTTTAAATAGTCACACATTGCTAAAGTTTAATACTTTTGTTCCACCCTCGTGTGGTAATAATACTTAAAATCTGTTAGAAATTTCAACGGCTAGGGCTATTTTAATAACGTTTGATATCAAAAAAATGAAAAGTAAAGACTGTTTGCATGAATATCTTGGCCAAAAGGTTATTTACGCATCTTCCAATGCCGAAGCAGAACCCAAATATCAGCTGTTTTTTCAAGACTTTTTCAATGGCATACATTTTAGGGGGAAAAAAGTTTAAGAAAGCACAAACAATAAGGTACCCAGAAGTCTTTGAAAAAATAAAGTATTTTTTATATCTTCAAATAAACTGGGCTCTTGTTCTATTGTCGGTATATCACAACAGGAAAACTGCCACCTATCATTGTGTGGCGAAACCTATCAGCTGACCGTCATCACCCGTTGCCTATAGACAACTTGAATTTGCGTTACAATAGTAAATGTACAAAAAATATAATAAACAATGGGAGGAGTGGGCTAAGCAAATATTTTTGCCTCTATACATATTTATATTGCTCGGCATACAATATCCATTCTAATCTTTTTGCCAACTTGGCTTATCCCTGCCTTTAGTCCACTCGCTTATACCTTAATTTTGTTTTATTCGATTAGAGTTGTTTGTTTATGCTTATTTCTTGCTAAAATTAAAAATCACACTTTAACAACTTGAGAAAAAGTACGGTCAGTTCGAGGTTTACATACATACATACTTATGTATATATATTACATAAGTATATCCCTCCATAGTTGCGAAATTGTAATAAATGCAATAAAAATAAACTCGTTTGTTACACGAAAAGTGAAGTGCGAAAAATAAGAACCCAAAATTATAATAAAAAGTGACCTTTTCGCTTAGCCACCTCACAAATTCAGCCAATCAGTTGGCACTCGCAGCAGACGGATCCACTTTGTAGTTATCACTTAATAAAAATTTAGTAGTTTTTACCCTTCGTGCGAGAATTTATGTGCTGCAAGCAGTAGCATGTCCTTACATGGATACAACTATTATAACAACAACAATAAATGTCAGTAATCAACAATACTACTCTTAAGCTTATATCAAACATAGGTACATACGAGTATGTATGGGTAAGTAATGATGCTTGTGCGCGGCTGTAGATTTCTTCGAAGATATTATATTTTGTATTGTAAGTCGTAGTTACGTACACCCTTGTTAAACATGCGACGATTTACTGCTTGTGATCTTCCCAGCTCATTTTTTTAAGCTAGTCACTTCTTAGCTACTTAAAGGTAATTATTATTTTTAGCGGGATTTTTTTTCCGAATAGATATCTGATAGAAAAATCTCTGCTCTATATTGAAAGTCTTTTGCTATGACGGTAGTGCTATATAATCAATTTCGGTTCATGTAACGGAGGTCGTTTATCTTTCTGATTTGAAAAAATCTTTGTTTCTTCCCTCAAGTTTAAGAATTAAGTATATAGAAATCGTGTGCAAATATCATGTGAAACTTGAACGCGAAGGTATATCCTTAGTTAAACAATTAACTTGACTTTTTCAATGAAGACATTAATTGAGGTCAAATCCTCACTAAATTAATTGCTCTATTAATATCTATTAGATATTTAACGATTCATATTTTTCTCCAAGTGAAAAAGAAACTAAAACAAACAAAAAAACGTAGTTCGGTTGCACCAAAGTTAGAAAACCCTTCACAAAATAAAAAAAGGATACAAGAACTTCATTTCTATCGATCAATTTGTATGGCAGCTATATTCTGCAGTGGTATGATCTGAACAATTTATTCTGTTTTTGTAGCATTGTCATCTCAGCTCCTCACGCTGATTATTTTTATACAATATATATATCATCGTTTCTCCTGGGTGTTATAAACTTCGTGGCAAATTTAATAAACCCTGTTCAAGGTATAAAAAGCAACATAATTTTTCATATATTTGGCAAGCTGAGTTTTTAAAAATTTATAAATATATATAATATTAAAACAAGTAAGGATTTTCGGTAAAAAGTCAACTATATGCACTGGGGTCCACATATTACCTAGGGGTTTGAACAGTTTTGGTTCAATTTAGATCATTTTTGGTCCCAAGGTGGCATACTTTTAACGTATTATTCACCAAAGTTTTACGCCGATATAATCATTGTTGCTTGATTTGCATACTGAGAAGTGAAAAAATCAGATGAAATTTAAAATGGTGTTATATGGGTAGTGGGCGTGGTTGTAATCCGATTTCACCAATTTTCACACCGTCGATAGAGATACTAAAAACATTTCTTTCCAGTGAATTTTGTTATTATAGCTTCAGTGGTATAGGAGATATGCACATTAAACTTATTACTAACGATTACGCCCATCTGCAATACCAACCGTCTTACGGTAACAAGAAACATCTGTACCAAGTTTCATAAAGATATCTCACTTTTACTCAAGTTACAGCTTGCACAGACAGACGGAAAGACGGACGGACGGGCGGACGGACAGGCAGTCACCCGGATTTCAACGCGTCTCTTCATCCTAATCATTTATATATATACAAGTATAAGTAAGTAAGTAAGGTGATACAAACAACTGTTCGGTGAACAAGGCTATTATACTCTGTAGCAACAAGTTGCGAGAGTATAAAAATACTCAACTATAAACTTAATTTTCTCAATTTGGTTGGCTAAAGAATTCAAAATAGAACATTTAGTGGCAGTGATAATTCTTATTTTTAGTTATTTTTCAAACATAACTCAAGAAAACCATTATAAGAAAGTGCTCGACATTTCAGTAATACGAAGGACGAAAATTGCTCAATTACTAGGTATAGGATATACGAGTTAAAAAAGAAATCTTCAATAAAATCAATCAATTACTTTTTACTTATTGCTTTACAAACTGCTGGACTCCAATTTGTTTTTAATAAACGCACATAAACTTCGTTTTAAGACTAAGAATATATAATTATTCAGACAAAGTATAATTTTCGGCTCAAGTATTATTTTTAAACGAAATTATTTTTTCGATAAATATTATATATAAGAGCAAAAGCTTGACAGCTAAAACGGCATTTATTTTACTCAATTATAAAATAATTTTTCTAGTTCTTCTGATAAAGAAAAACTAAAAGAAACTATCTCTTACAGATTGAAAATGAGAAGAAAAGTTGCACCGTACAATGTGGTAAGTGAATGTCAAAAATATAGTGTTAAAATCGATTATTCTCTATTAGTTCTAAATTTTCGCTATTCTCTTCTAACTTTCATTTCAGCCACGCTAATGTTGACGGTCGCTTAATGTTGAACATGACAGCGACAAATTGAAAATGTCAGCGCCAATCTTTCACGAACGATTGCGAATCGATGGCATCATGACTAAAATTCACTTTGTCGATAATCCGCTTAAAAACACGATAATGAAAGGCTAATGAAAACGTTTGTGCATACAGACATTTAAATATGTTTGTTGGAAATGTTCTTTAAAGGATTTGAAACGTATTAAAAAAAATATAATTAAAATTAGAATTTACGGATGCTCAGGTTCTATTAAAGACATTTAATTGAAGTTCAGGTTAGTGGTTTGCAGATATTGTACAAGCATACTTGTACATGTAAATTGAATGGGAGAATATTATAACAGGAGAAGATTAAATTAAAAGTGTTTATAATAATAATACTGTGTAATTACTACAGTAATTTATGGATGAATACTTACGAATTTAATTCCAAGTCTAAGCGAAACTTATGATTAAAGGCCTTAATTAAGAGTGAGGTGCGATGAAAGTGTTTCTGTAAAGAGAGAAAAAGATTCAAATTAATTTAGGAAACATAATTATTATAAAATCAGTACAGCAAAGTGAAGAATACGTTTGATAAATTGAAATTATCATGAGATACCGTTCTTAAATTCAATCAAAATCTATGAGAAAGCAAACCAAAAGTGTTTGTAAAGCCCGAATAATGCGTGTAGCGAGGCGAAATTTAAGTGTCAGCTTAAGAAAGATGAAACAATGATGATGATGAAAGAATGGGATAAATACTAGAATTTCATGCTTTTATAGCTCCAGTTCTTCATCCTGAAAAGACTTATAATCACAAAAAAGCTCGTTGACTTCAGGTTAGAATTCGCCAGAGCATATTGCGAATTGAAGCAATCAGAACAAAATGGTACTGTTCGGCTATAAACAAATCTATTATAAAAAGCCCGAGAAGGTAAACTACGAAGGCCGTTAAACATTGTGATGCTTTTGACACTATCTCCGATATACTAGTTCAATAAACGGGATTTCTATAAAAGATCAATTAATTTTTAGAGAAATGCTTAAACAAGCTATGCGTCCAAATTTTGGGTATAACAAGTAGCGTGAGGAAAAATTGGAATAAAGTTGCAAATGATCTATGAGGCAAGATTTCAAGCGAAAAATTGTTAAGAAATGTTAAAAACTCAGCTAACCATAAAAAGCAGCGTAGAACTTTAAAAAAATAATGCGAAGCTATATCTACAGATAGGTGTCGGATGGTAGAGGATTTAGAAACAACATACTACAAAAAATGCACTTATTCGTGATGGAACCAACTTTAAACTGAAAATGTTCCATGCCCGAGCAAGTACGAGTTTTAGGGCAATTTTTTTACTTACTTAAAAGGGAAAGAAAAAGTTAATCCGATTTCAGAACTTCCCAAAGGAAGTTTTCATATAACGGGTGTTTTTTAAGACTTGGGGTTTTTTAATGTGGCAAAACATTTCTAAAAGTTGTTATTTTTGACAGCGATTACTTGTTTTATACTCAGTTTGGTTTGTCATTTTATAATGATCAGATCTTCCCTAGAGCAAGGTTTGCACAAAGTGCAAATTTATTACCATATGATTCGGTTTGCAAAAGAAAATTTTGTTCAGCGATAAAACTGACTTTAGATTCAATGGGAGAAAATTCGCAAGCCATTGTTGAGACACCGTTACGTCCTTAAAAAGTTAGTGTTTGGTGCACTCTTTGGGCGGAGGAAATCATTGGTCTATATTTCTTCAAAAATGAAGCCGTCCATAACATTACAGTCAATGTGAAATAATAGCTATAGAGCATTGATTTTTTTTCGTGCCTGAATTGGGGAATGTTGATGTGGACGACCTTTAGTCCAACAATTGGCCATACAGCCAATGAAATAATCCATTTATTGAAGGAAATTTTTGATGAGCGCATTATCTCGCGTCGTGCGCCTGCGACGTGACCTCCAAGATCATGAGATTTAACACCGCTCGCCTATTTTTTTTTTGTTAAGTCGTTTGTCCACGCAGATAAGCCCGAGATGATTGACGTCTTGGGAAATAATATTTGGGCGTCGGCTGAAATTAATTGGAGCCAGCCACGGCGATCGCTTGCCCGGATTTGTAAACAATTTTCCATTATTATTATCTTTATGAAAAGTCTAAGTTCTAAACCATAACGTTAAATTATATGCGTTTTATTTCCTCTTGAAAATCACGCGGCCGAAAAGAAACACCCTTTACTATTAACTTTTGATTTAGCCGAGTAGAAAGAGTCCGTTACGCCACTATCATCCCTATTTTGGCCAATTTTCCAATTCCTTTAATAACTTCTGACCGATAGATCTGTGTATCCAGAAGGTTATATATACATAACCGAACATATCATACCCTAATACAATAATTTATCAGGACAAAGACAGAGAAATATCTTTGGGTGCATACGGTTTGTTAGAACAACGAAAATCAATATATGTAGTATATCGAAGTTTGGGTAATTTGTGAACCAATTTCAGTATATCGAATATTATACGCTCAGTCAATTTTGCTAAGATATCTTAATTATTTGCCGATATATGCGTAATAAAGTCAACCTGGAGTTCGAAAATCTTTCTATTATGTACTAGAAGCCCGACAGACGTTGTCCTGTATCACGTCTTAAATGCAAACTTTTTGAAATTAGCTATAACAGAAAGTTTTGACGAAAATTTTTATTACAAACTTATTACAATGTCTAACTTCATTCATATATATTTACCACAATCCGATCAATCGATAGCGTGTCTGAAATGTGTGCGTGTATATAAGAATGTTTTCAGAGATGTTAATTGTAGAAGCTGTATTGAATGAAAACTTGAAGTCGTTTAAATTGATTGTGAAAAGGTTAAATCTATTCTATAACGGGTATTTATTCTTAGAGTTAATTATCTACAAAAACTGAAGTTATCGTAATACCATAGGATGTACAATATTTTTGGTTAATCCTTGAGAGGCATAAACAAATAAATTCGATGGTTTTCCTAGCCGCGAGAAAAGTCTGTCTGCCGGAATTCTATGAAAAATGTTCTAACATCTGCGATGGTAGCGCAGTCTATCGGTTCCAATGTAAAACATTCCAAGATTAACCATCCTCGAATTCCCTTGAACTCTTTTAAAATAGGCAAAATTAAATGTATTTTTTCAATCTTTCTGAGACATTTTCTTAATTATCGTAAGAACCTTCTACAGAGTATTAGAAAACTACAAAAACAAAAACAGCCAAATCGGTCTAGCCGCTCTCAAGTTATGGCGTGACAACGGGCAATGGGTTTCATTTTTATTTAATAGATATGGGGGCTAAAAGGATTATTCACTCGGTACAACCTATTTTTATATACAGACATATTAATATCAGAAAAGGATACATTTCGAATTAATATAAAATATCTCCCACATTGACTGATATTTTCTATAAAATGTTCGCTGTAGGAACTGGGGTCCACATATTCGGTACCTAGGGGTTTGAACAACTATGGTCCGATTTTGGCGATTTTTAGATCCAAGATTGCATACTTTAAAAGCACTATTTGTGCAAAGTTTTATCCGAATATATTCATTGGTGCTTGATTTGTGCACTAAAAAGTGAAAGAATCAGATGGAATTTAAAATTTTGTTACATGGGAAGTGGGCAAGGTTGTATTCCGATTTCATCCATTTTCGAACTGCACCATAAGAACGTCATGGTAATGACACTCACCGAGTTTGGTTAAACGAGCAGGTCCCGTGATATGCGTTTTCACCTAAACGTGGGCGGTGCCACGCCCATCGTCTAATTTTGGAAGTGGCACCCATAAAGCTTTCTATATCATTGTAAAATTTAATGTCTCTCGCGATTTTATTTATTGTTTTATCGCGCTTTTAGTAGTTTTTAACAGAACCGTTATATGAGGAGTGGGCGGAGTTATCACCCGATTTCAATCATTTTTACAGTGTCGGTAGCAGCGCTTAAGGGATTTGCCTTGTGCAAGTTCTTTTATTGTATCTTAAGTGGTTGAGGAGATATGTAAATAAAACCTCTTAAAGGGCCCCGTCAATTTTTTTCAAAATTTTTTGCTCACAGGTGCCCCTCGATCCCTTGTGCTTAGAACAGTTTTATCGTCCTTGCTGTTTTGCCACGGAAAACGTGTATCAAGGATATCTCAAATTTTACTCAAGTTGCAGCTTGCAACATCCGACAGACATACATCCGAATTTCAACTCTTCTCGTCAACCTGATCATGATATATATATATATATATATATATATATATATAAACCTATTTTAGGTGATACAAACTACAGTTAGTTGAACAAAACTATTATACTATGTAGCAACATGTTGCAAGAGTATGAAAACCATTGTTTAAAAGCAGACCCTAGCACTCCGTACAGCTCGACCATATTAAAGACATGTCTCTCAGTAACATAAACTATGAGCAATGGAGTTTTTAAGTTTTTAACAGAAAATTATTTTTACTTATACTTAATTTTTCTATCACATACTTCGGGAGCGTGATTCTTCGAATAGTAATAAAACTATATTTTTCGCAGAATTAATTTTATTTTTGTTATGTTAGAAAATATTCTTTCTATTCCATTATTCCATTTAATTTTTCCACAATTGAGGAACTTTATATCATTAGCTCTCTTACATGAAAAAATACGCGTTAACTAGCAAACAAATCTCAAAATAATACTTCACTTAGTTTGGTATTTTACCATATAATATCGTTTTGACTCAATACACCTATAATTACATACCACCTCTTACCACCACAATTTCAGTGAACAATTTATGATCCTTCATCACAATCGTTAGCATTTCCAAGTAAACGCTGAGAGCCAGTTCTACCTGTAAGCCAAAGCATACACAGTTATTTTAGCATGCACAAATGGCTTGTACTGCGCCACTTCACGGAACAGTCTCTTGATGAGTCTCATTGGCGCGACGTCGCGTTGAAGATTATACACATACATACATATATAACATGAAAGCGCCCAATCGAGGTCAGCTGCCAAAAGAGGTATCGTTTACTGCATGCGTATCAGTTGAGCTGAGTGGTGGAAAACATGCGTCATGGTGTTGCGTGGAATGTTGCATGCTCATGTGTATGAAAGTAGAGAACTAGGCTGCGCTGAAGCATTGCAAAATCATAGCATAGATGTATTGGTGCGAAGCAAAAGCAGCGGTTGCTGTTGTTACCAGGGAGGTAACTACTTCACACAAACCCATACACACACGCAGGCATACATGTAAGCCGTCACTGCTGCTGAACGGTGTGGCAAAGACGATGTTGTTATTATCGCCTTTATTACAGCTTTGGCAACGAGCTGAGAAAGTAGTGTCGAGAAAGATGATGAGGTTCCTTTGGTGGAGGCTGGTAGCCGCTGTTGATATTGTGGTTGAAGTTGTAATAATGTGCCACTTGCCAAAAATGTTTACTCGCCCACACTTGCTTCAAAGCCCAATCGCAGTAACAACAAGCAAGGTATTTATGTGTATAAGTGT